ATGATGGGCTCAAATATAGCAGGGATCGTGGAGCTGGCGTGGGATCGGGCAGTGTTTCGTTCTGCTGTGCATGGGGTCGCTATGAGTCGGAAACGACTCAACCGCACCTAACAACAACAACAACACTGTTGTAATAAGACAACATCGTGTACCATCTGATATTATGCATTCAGAATGACTTACTATCACTTCTGTGCTATTCCTTCCAAATATGTAAAACTTCAAATCATGAGAAAACATCAAACAAATGCAAATTGAAAGATTTCTATAATATGAACAGTATGTTTCAAAACTATCAAGGTCATGAAAAATAAGGAAAGAACGAGGAGTTTCAAAGATTGCAGGACTGTAAGAATTCATAAGATTTAAATACCATGTGAGAATTTGTTTTAGAGTCTGGATAAGAAAAAATAAATGGTTTTAAAAACTGGTGATATTTAAATTAAGTCTTTAATTAAGAGTATTTGATCACTTTTGATTTCCTGGATTTCATAATTCTACTATGTTTACACAAGGTTAATAATAGAGGAAGCTGAGTGAAGGGTATATGGGAACTCTATACCATTTATGGGAACTCTATACCATTTATGAAAATTTTCCAAAGTCTAAATTTACTTCAGATTGTGTTATTATTGTTAGGAGTCATCAATTTGATTCAGACTATGAGTTCAAACTTCTGCAAAGCCAGCAGAAAGGGATTTTCTTTTATAGGTAAATATGAACAAGACTGGAAAGAATTGGGTGTGGGGGCAGTAGGATGGGATGTGAGGCTATGGGATGACGTGAAGGCAGCAGTGGTAGGGCAATAGATCAGAGAGTATTTTACCCCAAGATCAGCTTCATGGTGACTCTATGGGGTTACCACAAGTTAGAATGTACTGCCAATTAATAAGGACAGGATCAGCCTAAATTTGGGGAGCAGGATATATGCTGGCTTAGGCTGTTGTTGTTGTTATGTGCCGTTGAGTCAGATCTGACTCATAGCAAGCCCTCCTTGGGTTTCTGAGGCAGTATCACTATGGAAGTAGATTGCCCCATTTTCCTTCTGAGGAGTGACTGGTGGGTTTGAACTGCCAGCCTTCTGGTTAGCAGTCAAGTGCCTTAGCCACTATGCTACCAGAGCTCCTGGCTTAGTCTGAGAATGGGTCAAAATATAGGGACCTGGGGAAGTGAAAGCTTAATCACAGTTTGGTGAAGTCAAGGTAGCCAGTATTATGTTCAAATTGGTAAGTTGGTACAAAGAGTTCAGTTAATCAATATACAGGGAAAAGAATGGGAATTTGGTGTATTTTATTTACCATGCAAAAGCATTTAGCTGTGTCGATCATAACAAATTATGAACAACATGGTGAAGAATGGGAATTCCAGGACACTTAATTGTGCTCATGAGGAACCTGTACATAGACCAAGAGGCAGTCGTTCAACAGAACAAGAGGATAACTTGTGGTTTAAAATTAGGAAGGGTATGCGTCAAGGTTTTATCCTTTCACCATACTTATTCAATCTGTATGCTGAGTAAATAATCTGAGAAGCAGGGTTATATGAAGAAGAACGCAGCTTCAGGATTGGAGCAAGACTCATTAACAGCCTGGGACATGCAGATGACATAGGCTTTCTTGCTGAAGGTGAAAAGGTATTGAAGCACTTCCTGATGAATTGCCTTCAGTATGAATTACACCTCAATATAAAGAAAACAAAAATCCTCACAGATGGACCAATAAGCAACCTCATGATAAACAGAGAATATATTGAAGTTGTCAAGGATTTAGTTTTACTTGGATGCACAATCAATGTCCAAAGAAACAGCAGTCAAGAAATCAAATGAAGTATAGCATTGGGCAAATCTGTTACAAAAGAACTCTTTACAGTGGCAAAAAGCAAAGAAGTCATCTTGAGGAGTAAGATGGGCCTGACCTCCCCAAAAAACAAACTCACTGCCAGCAAGTTTGGACTTGCCATGGTATTTTCAGTCACCTCATATGCACATGAAACCTGGACAATGAATAAGGAAGACCAAAGAATTGATGCCTTTGAATTATGGTGTTGACAAAGAATATTGACTGTACCATGGACCACAGAAGAATGAACAAGTGTATGTTGGAAGAAGTACAGGCAGAATGGTCCGAGATTTCCTCTCAAGTACATTGAACATGTTATCAGGAGTGCCCAGACCCTGGAGAAGGACATTATGCCTGGTAAGGTAGAGGTTCAGCGACAAAGAGGAAGACCCTCAATTAGATGGATTGACACAGTGACCACAACAATGTAGCAATGATTGTTAGGCTAGCCCCTGCGGAAAAATCCGGTAGTGTTTAATTCTGTTGTACCTGTAGTGTTTAATTCTGTTGTACATGGTGTCACTATGAACCAGAACTTTAGGACACCTAACATGTCTGATCTTGTCGTAGCTAAGTAAGAGGAGGAAATCTGTAGCAAACCTGACTCACAGAGGATTTCCAAGGCTGTAAATGTTTACGGACGCGGAATGCCTCATCTTTTTCCCTCTGAGCTGCCGGTGGGTTCAAACCACCAGCCTTTTGGTTAGCAGCCCAATGCTTTAACTACAGCACCACCAGAGCTCCTTGGGGATCTGTTAGTCTTAACTAAATCACATGGGGAAGGTTGGCTCCTGTCTTTAAGCCTTTTCTGGAACACAGAGTAACGCGGAGATTTCTTTAAATATTGCTTTCCAGCATCAAAGGACACGGGTCATGTTCAACATTGATAGAATGCAGAGAAATCTCTCCACAAACTCAAGCAGAAGCTGAAGAGGTACAGAAGTAAATAAATGCTAGTTTCTCAGCTAAGTTTACATCTAGATGTCAGCGTTTTCTGTATCGATAAAGAGACGCCCTCAGAAGAAAGCAAGCGGCCGCCATTATTGCGGTTAACGCTGAGGCCTGAACCACCACCGGTGGCAAGCCTCGCCCTCTGGCGCGCTCCCGAGCTCCTCGGGTATGCGCAGAGCCCGCCTCGGCGCGCGCTTCTGCGCCCCGCGGAGGAGACGCAGGGAGGAGGCGCCCGCTGAACCTGAAGGGATTTCAGCGTGGTGGAGTTGGGGTCTAAGGGGCGCCAGCGTACGAGCAGCTGTGGCGCCCGCGGCCCTTGAGAGAATTGAGGAGGTGACGGTGAGGCGACACCGCGGCGCAGCTACCGCCAGCGACTGCGTCCGGAGGTGAGCGTTGGGTGAGGTGTTGGGGCGGGCGTTTACCCGGCGGGGTTGTGGAGGTCGTTCTTGAGCGCGGAGCCGCCATGGGCTTGTCTTTGTGCAGGTGAATCCTGATGTTGCGGCCCAGAAAAGAGCTCTCGGGTCGGGGCTCTTGCCCTGAACAGCCCGGGTGAGCCGCGGAACACCGTCTCCTGCCGGTGCTTGTTTCTTTAATGGTGAACGCAGGAATGTTGAACTAAAGTACTGTACATAATTTGGTTTTCTCTTTGAAAGGGCTATCAAATTCAGAGGTATGCACTATTAAAATATTTCATTTCCAAAGGCATACACTGCAAAAACGCAATAAAAAATGCAAGTATGTGTGTTTTCGATTCTCTTGAAGGTTTTTAGGTGGACATGCCATGGTTCACTTCTTACCCGTCTTCCATAACTCACATTCTTTGATATTTTATAGGCCTGGTGTCATATATAGATATATATATATATATATATATCACACTAATCTTTTTTAGGGGGAGAAAAAGACGTGTGTGACGTCCAGTGTTAGTTCCTTAGTACGTAATTTGAAGTTCTAAGTAAAAATAGGACCACCAGCCACTCCTCGGAAGGAAGGTTGGGTAATCCTACTTCCGTAGTGATACTGCCTCGGAAACCCAAGGAGGGTTCGCTATGAGTCGGGGCCGACTCGACGGCACATAACAACAACAAATAAAAATAGAGGACACTGATGTCTGTATTGATGTTAATGCAGAAGAGAACACTGTGGAACTATAAGGTGTATGTGATTGTGTACGCGTCCTGAAAATCACCTTATTTATTTTATAGTCATGACTAAAGTGTGTCTAATTTTGGAGTGTTTATATGTAAACTTAATCCAATTTTACTTTGGTTTTAGTCGGGAAAACTGTTTAATTAAAAGTTGATTTTGTGTCTTCTGCCTAAATGTGTTGAAAGTTGTTTTGATTTAAAAACCAATCAAATTAAATGAATTCTGAGCACATACGTATGATGCTAAACTTAGTGCTAGGTAAGGGTGGAATCCAAAAATAAGTGAGAATTGTGTGCGGAGTGATTAAGAACACAAATAATGATACAAGGCAGAATACAACATTAACAGAAAAGACTCCTTATTCTTAACCAGGCCCTGTGGTAAATACATGTGTATTTTAATACTTAAAACATATTTACTATTAATTATTTAATACATACTTTAATAATTTAGTAACTTATTCAAATAATACTGTGTGCTGAGTACTAAAGATATGATGTTGACAGACTCTGCTGCTAAGGAATTTACAGTCTTATGGGAGGAAACATATTAAATAATCACACAGATAAATGTGTGATAGAAGCTAAAAGAAGAATATAAGTGAGAATGTGTAACAGGGGGACTTATTCCAGGTGGGGAAATCAAGGAAGGTTTCCTCAGAAAGTAACCTTTGATGAACTGAGATACTGTGGATATGAGGTGGCTTCTAAAGGGAAGAAGACCGTCCTTGGTAAGGAAATAGATTCCATGGGCTTAGAGAAGACAACACATTTGGGAAATTCAAAGATCAAACAGTTGTAGGTTAGAAAGCAAAACGGAGATGTGATAAAGTCGGTTAGAGCAACATAGCTCTTGCAGGGCCTTTTTTTTTTGTTTGTTTGTTTGTCACTAATATATATATATATTTTTTTTTTATTAGGATTTGGGTGAAGATTTACAGAGTAAATTCACTTTTCATACAGCAGTTCACATATACTTTGTCTCATGTCATTGACCAAAATTTACAATGCAGCAGCTCCCCTCCCACTTCCTCCCCATAGTTACCTCCTCCCAGTGTTCATCCCTTCATACTCTTCTTGCAGGGCCTTTTAAGCAATCTTAAGGATTTGGGACGTTTTTTCTTTTTTTAACTTGTATGTGAAAAATTTCAAACATTCAAATGTAAAAGAAGAGTACAATGAACCTCCTTTAACATTACCCAAAGGATTTGGACCTTACTCTAAGAGCAATGACAAGTCAATGAAGACAGATAAACGAGGGAGTTCAGATTAGTATTTGAAAAAGGTCTCTGACTACTGTATAGAAGCTGAGTTAAATGGGATGGGAGCGAGAATTGATGCAAGGAGATCTGCTACAGATGATGATAACTTGAGACAAGAATGGTGGCTATGAAATAATGCAAATCAATCTACTTCCATAGTGATACTGGCTTGGAGACCCAAGCAGGGGTAGCTATGAGTAGGATCCGATTCTACGGCAGTGAGTTTGATTTGGTAAGGGTACCTAATACCTAACAGAACTCCCTTGCTTTGTAAAAATTCTATATTGATACCTATTAGAGGAACCATAGAAAGTTTTCTAAAGAAGATTGTATTTGAGATGGTTGGACTTTATAAAGTAGATAATAATTCATTATGGAGCCCTAGAAGAATTTCTTGTTGTCACAGGGTGGCTGACTTAGTGGCCTGGACAATCTTTGTAAATTTTACCTTTCCCTTAGGGTTTTTCTCATTTAAATTACTGTTGTGACTACCACTTTGGTCTTTGTTAGTTGTTCTTAGTAGCCATCTCAGATGACCTTATGTATAACAGAATGAAATGCTGCCAGGTCCTGTACCATCTTCATGATCTTTGATATGTTTGAGTCCTTTGTTGTATCATTCCATCTCATTGAAGGTTTCCCTCATTGACCCTCTGCTTTACCAAACAGTAATGTCATTTTTCAGCAATTGGTCTTCTCTGGTGACATGCCCAAAGTAAGCAAGCCAAAGTCTTGCCATCCTTGCTTCTAAAGAGCATTCTGGCTGTATTTCTTCTAAGACTGATTTGTTTGTTCTGATAAATTGTGGTATATTCTCTGTTCTTCACCACCACCACAACTGGAATGTACCAATTCTTCTTCAATCTTTCTTTTTCATTGTCCAGCAGTCCTGTGCGTATGAGGTGATTACAAAGCCCATGGCTTGGGGCAAGTGCATCTTAGTCATCAAAGTGACATTTTTACTTTTTAAAACTTTAAAGAGGTCTTTTATAGCAGATTTGCCCAATGCGGTATGTCATTTGATGCCTTGATTGCTGCTTCCATGCACACTGATTATTGATCCAAATATAGTGAAATCTTTGACATCTTCAGTTGTTTTTTGTACCATTTATCATATTTGTCAGTCCAGTTGTGAGAATTTTTGTTTTATTCACGTAACCCACAACAGCTATATTCTTTGACTTTCATTAGTGAGTGCTTTTTTTTTTTTTTTT